TTAAGTTACTAACATTTTATTTCAAACACTAAAGAAAGCGGTTAGTTATAAAAGCTAACCGGCTAACTTAATCCGCTAATATGAAATTGCTGATACAACCGGCTATGAGCTAACAAATAACCGCTATTATCAAACACGGTCGTTGACATTTTTAGACCTCCACTTTTGATGACAAAATCAAAGTAAAATGACTGCAAATGTCAATTTCACAATACTTATAATATGAAATGTGGGAAGTTCTAAAGTTGGGGATCAAAAGTTTACGATTCTAAAAAAATTGACCAATTTGTCATTAGGGCTTCTTTTTTTTTACCAATTTGTCCCAAATCGTATTTTTTTTACCAATCTGTCCAACAGCCCTATTTTGGCCCTCGTTTTAGAAGTTTTAACTTATTTCGGTACAATATTGTCTATAAACAAATATCTACTCATTTACAATGATGAAATACGTATAGATCACTGTTTGACGCTGTCGTTAAAACTACATAAACCGTGATATAGCTTTCTATATGTCCGGTTTTGAATTATGGGAATCGAAAAATTATGACATTGATATGATCGGAAATATAATGATATCCAGTAGAAGCTCAGGCTGGGATTGTTCCAACTTCATATCACTTACTTCTATGCCCAAATCTATGCCGTGGATATATATCAAAAAGACAGTATTTAATATCGTCAAAGTAGGGATTGGCATCAAATAGGGCATATACACTTAATGGCTCTTAAGAAATCGTTAATTTTGTCTGGTAAGATTAACGATTCGAAATATATTGTGCACTTGGGGCAGTTGACATTAAAACAAGATTCTCTACGTTAGAAATGCACAATAATCCCTATTGGTTTATCTTCTGTATAGATAATTTGAATCTATAGGCTAAAGTAGCTCTCCTGTTGTACTGACGCATATATACCGAAAGATAATGGGTTTTGAAAGCCACAATATTATGTTTAGCTTTATTTTTTTTTCAAATCTGTAACGCTATAGACAGTTCCCTTTCCTGTTAGGGTGTGTGTTATAAACATACGTTTGTAAATATTAGAGTGATAGATTGCACTATATCCACTCATGAATAATTATCGATTGTGACAAAATAGATATAACTTCTTGAAACAAAGATAAAATGTGTAAGTAAATGGATATGTTTTATTTTGTTCTTCAACTACTCGTTAAAGCTCTAACCAATGCGCTATATAGTTTTAAATTTAGTACACCTAATTCATGAATCCAATTTGGGACGAAAATGTTTATGTTAGAGATTATTTGTATAGCCATACTATCCGTAATGGTTAGAGCTTCCATTAATTTACACTCTATATTGATCGCCACGAATATTAGATTAATGTCCTATTGTGTTTATCTGAAATAATTACGTTTTAGCCTGATCTCTATGGTTAAGACGTATGAGAACGTTAAATGTTTGCTCAGTGGTATACTACATGAGTACACTTTTTGACGTTTTCGAAATCGGCACCTGAAGATAAGTTATATATCTGGATAAGATCTTTATAACGAGATAGAAAACGTCAATCCCTTGATAACCGAATGAGGTTGGAAATAGCAGATAAAGATAGGTTTAGATATGAGTTAGTGCATATCAAGGAATCGGATACCCGTAATAGGTCTAAGTATAGTCCGTGCTAAAATATCTTATCGACCTATTTTGTAAACTTATTTAGGTCAAGTTTTCTACGGTCTATATGTTAAGACCCTGGGTTCCATCCTAAAAGGTCAACCTATTAGGAGGAGTAGCCCAAAGCCTTATATAGTGTGTAATTGTTTTATAGTTTTCCGGTGTGAGACGAATGCTTCAACACGCCCCCTCAGCCCGAACCGGGCTGGACAATATTGGGGTGTATAAACGGGCCAAACAAACCCTTAATAAGCTACCCTTAATCATGGGTGCTAAACAAGCCGTCAAACCACAACCGGAATTGGCTCTGATACCATGTCAAGACCCGGGGTTCCATCCTAAAAGGTCAACCTATTAGGAGGAGTAGCCCAAAGCTTTATATAGTGTGTAATTGTTTTATAGCTTTCCGGTGTGGGACAAATGCTTCAACACTATACAACCGTAGATCATTCCCTAAGAGCCTAAACAATCATATAGCAAAAGAAAACTATATGTAAATTTTAAGATATGCTCTATTTTGTAACTCATATCTTATACAACCGATATATCACTTGTAAAACGTTTACGAGTATAACTCCGGGTATCTCAAGATATACTCATCACATATATGAAATGAGTTCTAAATGGGATATATAAATACTAAATGTTGATGGCTATGTATTTTTTGACGGAAGAACACACAGCAAGATATGATGAAGTTGATGAAACATTGAGATTATAAAGGTTGATATCAGGTATTTGTCGAATAATCTCGTATTCCTAAAACGTATGGGAATTCTAGATTTCGGGGATACTCAACTTGTTTAGTATCCGTTTGAACAATTCTTGCTGATAACATTAGTTTAAAACGGAAGAACACACAACAGGATATTATTAACATACCTGAGTTTCTATCTCGTCTTTGTCAATTTTTCTATTGCGGTCATATCTTTACATCCTATATAATCCAAATGCATTGTACTCTTATCTTTTAAACTCAGGTTACAAATATACATTATTTCGGATTCCGTTTAGTATTTGTGTGTTTAATCGTAAGCTTGATTATTAGATATTAAAGTACGTTTTATTATAAGAGAATTTACCATAAAAGACAAAACGGTATTGTTTTGCCTAAGATCAAATGTTGTCTAAAGGTAATTCTAAAGATGTGCGCTGTAATTACGTTGTATACTTCAGAAGAATGTTTACGATCCAACGCTTAAATAAATAAATAGTGTATAAAGTGCTCTTATGGTGTTTTAAATATCTTATGAAGTCACCGATTCTAAGAGCTCCGGAATTCTGAGTGCTCTATCGAATTAAGCGAGATATTTTGCTCCTAAAATTATAAAACCATTAAAACGCTAAACCAAATGTAATTAAACCATAGAGGCTTACTATAACAGGTAATCTAATATTCGAAACTTAATCTTTCTCTTTGGAATCATATCTTGCTCTGTTCTTCCGTTTAAAGCGTATTATATCTCTTTGGAAAGACAATTTTGAATTCTAAAGCTATTGTTCCAACTTCATTTACAATGCATTAAGTTTTGTAATACGCTTAATGCACCTAGAATACTTAAGAAATTTATAAGTATTAATTGCACTTTTATCAGATATTCATATGAAGTTGGAACAGTAAATGAGTTGACCTAAAGTGCTCTATGTATAATTCAAGATACGTTATTTTATTGTAAGCGTATAGGTATTTTAGCAAATATCTAAATAGTATTTGTATAGTTTATATACATTAGTAATACGGTAACAACATCAGCTATTTACGCAATATATTAAGTAATGCTAACCAGTAGATGAACAAGATAAGTTTTCAAAAGAGACAACAAAATCGTTCGGATAATACTAAGCTTCCTTTAACGAAAGTATAATAGCGCCCTAAATAGTTTGCACTCTGCTAGTATCACGTGTGGTTTCTCTACATCCCTGAAAGATATATTTCACATAATCTATGAAATCATCCTAAAAATGCTTAAAACTTATTACTCTTCATATAGTAAAAATTTCGAAATATCAAGGGATGATTGCCTATTTTGTAAAACAAACTAGGCCCTGGAACCGGTTTCCAAATATCAAGGGATGATTGTCTATTTTGTAAAACAAACTAGGCCCTGAACGAGAAGTATCGGTTTATAATAAGGTCACAAGAATGATCTTTGGGAAGAAGATGAATACCGTACTCTAGCGTTCGGGAACCAAAGAGATATAATACGGGTCCTATAAAGACATTAATCTTAGGCTAACAAATACCTCATGACTTATTGCTCATATCAATTTAATGTGTAAAAGGTAAAGAGTTCGGGTAATATTGATAAGTTAAAAGTACATATAGGGCTTATTCTCATCAATATAAGCCCTTGAACAGCCTAAATATCTACCATTGGTGGAAAAACCCTAAACTGATTGTTGGAATTAATAATAGATATCCACTTAGATATCTATATAAGTACCTATTGTTGGTGGAAGTACCTATTGTTGTAGGTTTTGAGAACCCAACTGTTCCCCTCAAGATCATGCTGCGCAACCATATCTTTCCAAAACGCCTCAAATTTATCACGTGTAAAATTGGCATACATAACAGTCTTGGAATCCTTCAGAAAAAGAGGGATCTTTACATTTTCACATGCATTCTTATGCAGATGCCACGCACATAGTCTATGAAGTGCAGCCGGAAATACCTGTTTTATAGCCTCCCTCATAGCTCCATCACTATCTGTCACTACTGCGTTGGGATGCTTATTGCCCATAGCTTCCAGAAAAGATTCTAGCACCCACTTGTAAGTTTCAGTTGTTTCATCTGAAACCAAAGCACAACCGAATATAGTAGTCTGTAAATGGTGATTGCATCCTGATAAAATAACAAGAGGATAATTGTACTTGTTCTTCTTGTACGTTGTGTCAAAAGCAAGCACATCCCCAAAGAATGCAAAATCAGATCTGCTCTTACCATCTGCCCAAAAAATCTGTCGAAGTCTCCCATCATCAGTAGTAGAGAATTTGGCATATAACATGGGATCGTTATCAGCTTTTCCATGGAGATAGCTTAATGCGGCAATAACATCTCCATCTTTAATATCACCATGCATTTTGCTATCAAAATAGTTGTAAAGGTCTTTTTTTGTAAAGCCAACACTATTGTATCCACCTTTTTGTGCCACCATGTATCCCATGATATGACAAGTTCTAATTCCCTGTGAATGGAGGCTATCAACCTGTGCTTTATCTGCATCAGTCATTCCACGGTAAGCAGATAATAAATGCACATATTTTGAAGGGGCCAATTCATGGTCATGAGTCTCTTGAAAACATGTCACTATCCAACATGAATCTTTTGCCTTATAACGTATATGAAACTTTGCATCACAATTAGTTCGGGTTAACGGTCTATGACCTCTTTTCCTGTCAGACCTTGTCAGATGTTTTGGGTTTCTTAATCCTTGTCTATTGCATACAAAGTGACGTGTAACCAATTTGTTACTTTTGTTACGACGTACACTGTGTTTCCTTACCACAAAACCATGACATTTAGCATACTTCGTGTAAAACTCATAGGCTTCATCTTCACTTCCAAAATGTAGTGCACGTATCTCATCTGGCGTCAAATCTGAGATCCTTTTAAACTCACCATCTTCAAGATCCATGTCGGCGCCATGTCCATCACCAGAATTTTCACTTTCACCACTTGAAAGAGAACCGCCTTCCACATCTGAATTATCATATGATGAACTGCCACATATATTCATCTGTAAAAAATAAGAACATATTAAAGTATATTTTAATTAGTAAATATTTGAAGTAATTGAATTCTAAAAAGTGATAAAAAGATGGAAAATATCAAAACCCGCGCATCACATCTTCTACCAAAACTGCTATTTCTCAAGTTTTCAAACATGCCTCTTTTGATGGGATGATGGAAGTATTTTTTTTGAGACCCGGTGTCTGAACCAAAAAACCGATACGGCTTTTAAGTCATGACTGTGCGTGATCAACTACATTATATGGATATTTTCTAGAAACTGATCTTAAAATTACACTACACTGTTATCTATTGAACATTCTTCATTACACTGACTCAGTCATAAGATATGTAATTCTTTATTCTTCTGCATAAGATATAATCTCCTATTCATAAGATTTGTTTAACACTGCATCTACTTTAAAAAGAATTATCATTTGAATCTGAAATCGGGATGGGGTATATTTTCTGTGTTAAGCAAGACCTGAGAAGGTGTTCTTCATGAACACATAGAGAAACTGAGGTTCCTAAGTCACTTTGTACTTCACTTGAAAAAAGAAAAATGAAGCACTTTGTCTTTACAACATCAGACTTGAGAGACCCTTCATTCCATGAATTGTCAAGTCAAGCCTAGAAGGATTTGAATTTAATCATCCACCAGGAGGAATCACAGTACCTTTCTAAAGGATTTATGTGTCCTTTTCACTAGCTAACTGGCTCTAATCTCAATAATATTTGATGCCAATCAATCACCAATTATTTTTAACTTGGTTTTCGCTAAGTTTTACTTTTAATAAAGAACAAATCTAGTTTTATCCCTTGGCTATTATCAGATGTACAAATGAGATTTCACTGTTTTATTTTACTTATTTATATTAGTCTTAATTCTAAATACATAGTATTACCACTCAAGTAGAGTTCCTCTAACGCATTCAAGTCAAAGTGATTTAGTGAAATTAGTAATGAAAATACTTATCTGAAATTAAGAAAGTTAGAGTTTGACTCAATATATAAACAAAGTTCAACCTTACATTTGTAGTTTCATGAGAGGGAAGATGCTATTTGTAAATTGTAATTGAATTCTAAAAGATCCAATCACCAAGGAAATTAATTCTTAACATGCCCAAGTTCTTCTTCTACTCATACTCCCATGTTGGCAGCTTATAAGGCCATTCAAAACACAAAAGGAAGACAGTGGAGGCAGTGTGCATAAACATAATAAATAGGCCATTTCAAGTGGCTACATAAAAAGAAAATAAAGAAGCAGATGATACATTTTAATAAAAAAAAAGTGTTAATATAAACACGTACATAAGCTTCATACATAGAAATTAAACAATTAGAATTAAGGATTGGATACATAAACAACACAAAAACTAACAACACAGAAATTAAACAACATAAATAGAAGCATAAGCACTAAATGGTGTGAAAAATGCCAAATCTGGGAGTTCAACTTGAATGGATAAACTTATCTTGAAGAAGAAGAAGCTGAGAATTTTGAAAAATGCCAAATCTGGGAGGAATCGTGTCACGTATGTTTTCTAATGATATGGACCAAAGCTAGAAGTGCTAGATTTGAAGGCTCAATATCAAAGATAGTATAAATGGAAAGCTAAAAGATGGTGGATTTCAAAGCTAAAAAAAAGAATAAGGAGAGAAATGATACTCTTACCTTTCACGTATCTTTATTACTGTTTTCAAAGCTAATCCAGGTTTCTTATCATTCTCACTTTTGAATTAAAATGAGGCAAATTTAAGAAGGTTTTTACTTTCAACTTTGTGCTACTTCCAGTCTTAATGTAAATGCTTCGCGTCTACAACTCGGATTAATGCAAGAAATACAACTATAATTCAGTGAAATACTGAAACCAGTATCAATAAAGGCAATTCTCAAAAGCCTGGACTATAGTATACACTAACAAATTTTCTACGATGCAACACTAGTATAACTAAATTCAAAGTTAGCCCTTGAGCCAATGTAGAAAGAACAAAAAGTTAATTGATTACTCAACTAAATCCAATCATAATCAAGATATGAACATCAAAACAAGGTATAATCTAAGAAATAAGGATTTTGAGTTTGTGTCTTGCCTCTGCGTTCTCACCGGAGTATGTAATTTCTTTTGGAGTTGATGGTTCTTCGTCGGGCGGCGCAGCGTCTTCCATAATTGGGCACCACAGGTTATTTGCGCCGCAGGTTCTTCTTCCTCCTTAATTCGGCGAGTTCTTATTCCTTGCGCAGCCGCTCCCTTATTTCGGCGAGTTGTTTTTTGCTTTCTGCGGTCTGTAACGGCAGCCGTTTGGTCTACCCTCTACGGACTTTAACGATAAATGGATGAGGGATTGTTTGCAATTGCAAATATTGAAATTACAGTGTGTTTGGACGTGTTAATACTAAAATTAGGTGTTGATTTGACGTGGAACTCTCTTTTATTTGATTGGTTTAAAAAGTGATGTACCAAAACACTCTCTTTTTTCGTACGTACCGTAGAAGCTCCCACGTTATAATCAATATCCCTAGTTCGTCAAATAAGCATTATATGGGCTTAACCCATATATGCTCTAAACATAGTTCCGAGATATAACCTACAATTAACCGTTATAATAACTATATACTAAACGTTGACGTTTGAGCTATATATTTGTTTATATCTCACTTTTATCAAAGGGATATATCTTTAATTGACACGTGTCATTATATAATATAGTGCCACATTTTAAATCCATATTTATACAAATTGTATAAACCAATGATACATCCATTATCTACATTACCATAATACTAAGATACGCTATGGTTGTATACATATATTTATAGACAATGTCTTTCTATTAAGTGAGTGGTTAATGTATCTAATTATAATTATTTATGATTAAACAAATAAACTCATAATGGTGATAAACTCATAATATACCTAATGTTACAAATATGTCAGTTATATTCGTAAACACTAAAGTAATACCAATTATGTACGGTTTATACATAGATTGTATATTTTATACCCTTACGCAATTGTTAAAACACACTAATCTTCTATGTTAAGGTCATTGATATGGAACGAATTGCGTTTAACCGCATAGAATATGTTTTATAGTCAAATACAAATGTTATATTACGAAAATATAACAGAGAATATTTGTAAATTATGCCATATTAACTGGTCCGTATAAATCACAGGTTTCAACTTATTTATTAAGGTGCATATCATATTATTTACAAGCATGAGTAAATACCACTATGATACTAATATATCAACAGCAATATCTAAGGACCATAAATACCAAAACATAAATCTTATCGAGCTCACATTGTGACGCTAATCCGAACGATTCCCGTTTTAAATGGAAGAACATGTTTAGAACGGCGTTAAGTAAATATCAATTAAATAAGATGATGTATGTACTACCTTTTAGGCTAAGTATTTGTGACAATTTTGAGATCAAAAGCTTAACAGTTAGGTATGAATTTCTGAACTTATGTAGCTGTTTAATACCGTGTACGTTTTGCCTTATATAATTTAATATACTCATTTTGATAGTTTAGAGGTCTCATCGAAGATACTATTAGTGCTCCATCAAAAGTATTTCACGTATTATTCAGCACTGATACCCTAATTGGTAAGCAGATTTCACGGTATTATCATAAAGCTGACCCAAATATTGAAATTATCGAAATTACTAATAGTGCTAAAAGTGCAAGTATATATTGATTATAGATATAATATTTGCGTTTGGAAAGACAATTTTGTATCTAGGGTAACATAAATATTATCTTATACTCAATCTAAATATTAATAGTTTGTTTACGTGACCAACGATTTACGATATCATTTATGTGAAAACATTAGTAAGTATTGCCATCATTTAGGAATGTAAAAAATAAAAAAATAAAAAATAAAAAAAGAAAAAAAAAAAGAAAAAAAAAACATTAGTAAGTATTGGATTTCATTTATTAGGCCATTTTTCTGGTATATATCTAGACAATTTATGGTATTTTACGTTTTCAACGACTTCTCCCAAAGTGATCTAAAAACACTCATATATTACTTTAAGTGTATATTCATAGGGTTTCATTAATATTTATAAGATATAACCAATTTAAAATATATTTGATTGCACATCCTTTCCCTGTGCGTCTAACTCGAGTTCAGATCAAAATTTTCAGTGCTCTATCTAAATATTCTATCCAGACTAAGCAAAATACCCCAAACATTTGAATTCCTATCAATTATACTTATAGATTATATCAACTCCTAATACATTCCCAACTAAGGTGTCAACCTCTTATAAGTCACAAATAGATACATGTAAATTAGGGTTACCGGATTTGAATAGCGTGCTAAATCTATCTATATTTGAAGATAGATAAGTATAATATGATGAGGAGCTAGACCAAACGGTGCATCATATATATATATATATATATATATATATATATATATTCACTTTTAGCCTATTATAATTGATAGAGTATATAGACTCGGACCCCCGGGCCTCACGACTATTGGGCCCGGACAGCAGCCCACATACGCTCAGTGGATAGCATTTATCTCATTGTACACTCTATTTTATTCATGTATATCCATTAGAATAGATTAGATATCGTTTATTAGCCATTTATTGGCCTTTTATTGTAGTTGGGCCTTCTAGGCCCAAGCCTGGAAGCCCAACCCTCTTTTCTCCTATAAATACTCCCTATGGGAGCCATGTAAAAGGGGGGTTGAATGGTTGTTTGGGATTCATTTATACACATCACTTTATCTCTCTAGCTCTCCCTTCTCTCTAGAATTAATACTCTATCATTTGGTGCTTTCATTGAGAGTTAGAATATATCAAGTGAGACCCTCCCAACCAATATCACAACACGTAAATAATCACGTGCAGTGGTATCGCTTCGGCCCCACTGGAGCAACATGTAATCTCTTGTATTTCGTGTACACTCCCATGGGCAACCAGCGTCCAAGGGCAACTAAAACAAAAGGAAAAAGTCAAACACATAGATGGTGGGACCTTCGGCAAGCCTCAAGTGTGCCCCTCGGCCAGTGCGGCACCTCTGCGGGGAGTCTCCACCTCGGCCAAACTCAATCAAAGAGGGAGAAAGCAGGTGGCAGCCCCTCGTCCAGAAGACAACCCAGCGGCCGACAACTGCGCGCTTCGGCCAATTGCGTCAGCCACCGACGTTATCTGCCACCGGCACCCAACGCCCGGCACACAACAGCCTGCACCGCATCAGCCGCGCACCGCATCGGCCAAAAAAAGGAACGCCGCATCGGAACACCGCATCAGCCGCGCACCGCACCGGCCAAAAAGAGGGACATCGCATCGGCCTCTCACCCCAGCGGAAAATAAGAGTCACCTCGGCCGGACAGCACGCTTCGGCCGGCAGCACCTTCGGCCGGAAACATCTTCGGCCGGCAACACCATCGGCCGGCACAATTTCGGCCACCGGCACACAACGGATGAGACCACATCGGCCAGATCATATCGGCCAAGATAAGCAAACATACAGTACACTTCGGCCGGCAATGCTTCGGCCAGTAATTCCTCGGCCACGAGGGCCTCTCAGTCAAGCCCAAACAAAAAGCAATAACATCAAGCCTCGCCCAGATTCCCAGTCAATGTCAAGCCTCGTTACACCCCTTCGGCCAGTGCGGCACCTCTGCCAGTGCCCATCTTGGTCAAACTCAAACAAAGAACTAAAGGAAAAGGAACATGGCAGGTTACGGCCACCACCATCTTGGTCAAAGGTCCCAACCTGTTCGCCTCGTCCTTCCTGGGGCAGTGTGACCCTTCGGTCAGACACCACACTCGTCTCTATCCTGTGAAGTGGCAGTCCATCGGCTAGCAACACATCGGCCAACAACAAATCATCGGGCAGCAGCGCGTCGGCCAGCAGTGCGTCGGCCAGCTGTTCGTCGGCCGCCAAACTACAAGAATCACTTCGGAAAAAGAGTACACCGTCGGCCAGAGGATTGGAATCACGTCGGCCAGGTCAGGACCCTCCTCCACCGTCGTCTCTGGCCCCTCCCCGGCACCCAATCGCGAACCCTCGGTCAGAGTGGGACCCTCGCCCCCCTCGTCGCCCACGATTATCAGGGGCGGCTAAGAGAGTGAACCACCTGGCTCTCGCGCCCCTGGACACAGCCCTCCACCTTGGCACCGCGACGGCTAGCTCAAGGCACTGCTTCGGCCCGATTGCTCCCTGCGGGTGAAACTAACGAGTGGAACCATTTTATCCTTGCTGGCATCTCAACTAAGATAGTGGGCTAAAAGGAACATGGACCGGCTATTAATTTCAAGGCTGGATACAGAGCAGGCCCAATCTTGTATTTCCCTGCTTTAATACTAAGCAGGGCAGGCTTCGGCCCAAATACAAGTAAGTCTCACAAACTTTTCCTCCTATTTTATGCATTAAATATGGAGCAAAATAGTTTTACCACTATTCAAAAAAAAAAAAGTATAGCTTTACTACTATTCCGGAAAAAATAGTTTTACTACTATTAAGACAAAATAGTTTTACTAACTATTCAAAAGAAAAACAAAAATAATAATAATAATTACTACTATTATTATTATCACCGTTGCTAGCGGATTAAAATCTCCAATTGGTGCGGGCCAAAGCCTTAACCTTCCGAACATCTTTATTTGATGATCCGGATTATATTTGGGTCCCTCGACCTACCTTGGTCATCTTTATTTGACGACCCGGGCATCTAGAATGAGAGCCATCATCGGCCGTACACGGCATTATGCCTAGAAGCGGTACACCTCATTCCCCTATACGCTAATTGCGTCATCCAAAAGCCGTTGCAATAAACAACGCACCTAAAGCCGTCGCAATAAACGACGCACCCAAAGCCGTTGCAATAAACAACGCACTCAAAGCCGTTGCAATAAACAACGCACCTAAAGCCGTCGCAATAAACGACGCACCCAAAGCCGTTGCAATACACAACGCACCTAAGGCCGTTGCGATCCACAACGCGCCTACAAAGCCGTTGCAATAAACAACGCACCTAAATATCGTATCGGCACAAGCGGTGAAACACCCAAATCGGCCGGCGATATGCAGGACGAAGGACTTGTGTGCATGGTCCAACGTCTTCAAACGGAGAAGCATACCGCGTCGTCCGCGCGGAAACCGCAGGACGACAGGCCTGAATTAAGGCTGAGGTTACAAAAAACTCCACCCGTCAGTAAAATTTCGCTCAGGACCACAAAGGGCGGCCGTCAAAAGACGATGCCTAGTCCGGTCCCTCGTCGCCGATAGACGTGGAAAGGCAAAAAAGGATGCCACTGACCAAGCCGAGGGCGTATTTACTCCCTCGCACTAACACACGCGAAAAGCGTAGCGGACAAAATACCGCACATGGACGAAGGGACAGTAACCCTTCGGCCATCCAAAAAAAAAAAAAAAAAAAAAAAAAAAAAAAAAAGAGGGAAGCCGACGGACCGCGCACTTACCGG